AATGACTGAATTTTCCTTCATCTTTCCAAGAATGAACATTTTTCTACTGAAAAATTTTAATCTCCTCCTTTTGTAGCTTTTTTTTCCCACTCCTGACCATAATGACCTTTGAGGATGCTCCTAATTATCAACATGTGGAAGATAAGTGTTAAAAAAAATCCAATGGAAGTTAAATAAAAAACAACAAAAAACCCAACCTCCCCTGCCATAGCCCCCCAGAACCCTTCATCTAGTTAGTGTCCATGGATTCACCTAACCTGGATTTCATATACCAAAAATCATAGAAAAAGACATACCATAAAGTCAAGAAGGCTACCAACAATAACAAAATACAGAGAGAACCCCTAGTTTTGAAAACAAACAAAATATTTGTGATAGTTACAGTTTTTGTGGTAATATGGCACACATAAGAAGATATGGGTGGAGTGTAGCCTGTCAATCATGTCACAGCCTGATGGTACTTCCTTGTGGGCGTGGCCTTTTCATAAGGAGGATCCTGGGACTTCCCCTCTCTATGCCTTCACCTTCCTGTTGACACCAAGTGGAGACCTGCACATGCCCTGGAGATGCGCCCACTGCCATTGGAGCTACAAGATTTTGCACCCATGCGCCAGTGATGTTCCTGCATTCTGCATCATTGCATGTGGCTTTGTGAGTCTAAAGAGGGACTTAGGGACTAGTATTGCACTTAAGAACTAGAGTTGGACTCGGCTGGGATGATTTATTGATGCATAATAACTTCTTGATATAAAGGTCTCTCTTACACATGAGTGTCCTCAGATATGTTTCTCTAGTCTACCTGGCTTAACACAATATTGAAAACCAGATCAAGCTCAAAGTATAAGAACAGATCATTTTAAGAAAGACTCCTGCAGAATAAAACCAGAACGTGACTGGGAAGAAACATATATTTCACTTACATGAGAATCCAAAACCAAGACGTTGAGTAGTCTTCAAACACTTTTACTCCAAGTGATTTTACTTTAAGGAGTCTATTGATGCCACTGAATTAAAAAAAGAATAAAAATCGATTATTTTTTTATTACTACCATGTAGAAAGATTTTTATTAAGTTAAAAGGAATTTTTCAAGCTGCTTTTCAAAACATGTTTTTAGAAACCACCTGCCAGTATGCAATTCTTTTGAAACATGGGTGTCACTTTGATAACCCTGTTATCAAACTGTGTGCTACTGTTATACACAAGAGTCACAGTTCAAAAGTGGTGAAGAGATCTTTCTCTAGGGTACACTGCATGGTCTCAATCTTGCAAAAATTTCACTGTAGTGAAAAAAAATTAATGATCAGCTTTTAACTTAGAGCCTCAAGAATGAACATCATTCTTATTTCCTCTAATGCAGCACTTGAATACAGAAAAGAAAAGGCCTTCCCTAGTTCCCTGACAGCTCTGTAGCAGGAAGGACCGAGGGAGAAGATAAAGAAGCTCTACAGGTGACTCGTGTTCTGTTTGAATTGCACTTAGACCAGTGTGTTCACAATGTTCATACTTGTCAAGAAATACAGCATTGACAAGCCCTTTCCCCAGTGTCTCCACTGACTTTGGTGACAATCTTCTAGTTTTCCTGAGTTTTATGACTTACATATAAATAACTAGCAATTTGATTTAGTCCTGTTTGATTTTGAATCTTATAAATGGAATAATATTTGCATTATTTTTTTGTGATTTCTTTCTGTTTTACATTTGTGAAATTCACTCATGTTGCTGTTATATTTTAAACAGGAAAGAACTACACTATTCTACTGTATTACTAAAGTTTTCTAGCAGATAGAGATGCATTAAAATTCTCTTCAATCTTTAACTTTTTAACTCAACAACTAAGTTATGCAACAAAGCTCTGTTCATTGGGAACAAATACTTCCTACTAAGTTGTAGCACCGTGGCATGCATAGCCATGAGAAATAGTGAATTGTCTGCACTGCAGTTGGTACACAGAAACTTGGCACAGCATCGAAAAAGCATTGTCTTGACTCTATCTCTGTTTAAATCCAACTCCCACTTTCAAAACATCTGGCAGTTTCATTATTTCAGTCATTTAAAAACCACAAGGCTTTAAAAAACAATGGCTACTTTATTCTGTTCATTCACAAAGTACATTTTATAGAGATCTTTTAATACATTTCCTTATGTTGCATTTCTGTACTTGTTGATAACAAAAACATCTAACTATTTTGAAGGTCAAAAGACAAACTGGGTGTCACACGTTATTCTTTCTAATTCACTTTGGCTTCTCCTACTTGACATGCTTTTCTTAATCCACGTATACTACATTTCATACATGCATACTATATTCCACAGTAACATACAAGGGGGTAAACAAAAGAAACCCCAGGATTATTTTTTCAAAGCTATGTATTTAAATTTTTAATAAAATAACCTTATCACCTTCAAAGTATTCTCCATTACACTTAAAACATTTGTTAAATCTGCAATTCCATTCTTGGAAACATTTT